GAGAGGGGAAGAGAAAGTGAGAAGGGAGTGATGAAGGAAGGAAGGAAAGAGGGAAGGAGGGAGGGTGGGAGGAAGGAAGGAAGGAGAGGGGAAGAGAAAGTGAGAAGGGAGTGATGAAGGAAGGAAGGAAGGAAAGGGAAGGAGGGAGGGAGGAAAGGAAGGAAGGAAGGAACAAGAGAAAGGGAGGGAGGGAGGGAAGAAAAGATGGAAAGAGGGAAGTAAAGGGAATGAAAGGAAGGATGGAAAACAGGAAAGGAAGGAGGGAAGAAGGAAGAGAGAAGGGACGGAGGACGGAAGAGAATCAAGGGATGAAGGAAGGAAAGATAGATGGAGGAGAGAGGGAAGGAGGGAAGGAATGAGGGAGGAAGGGAAAGGAAGAGAGGAAAGGGAAGGAACGAGAAGGGAAGTAGGAAGGAGAGGGGAGGCAGGGAGGAAAGGAAGGAAGGAGAGGAAGAGAAAGTCAGAAGGGAGTGATGAAGGAAGGAAGGAAAGAGAGAAGGGAGGGAAAGAGGGAGGGAGGAAAGAAAAGGGAAAGAGGGAAGGAAAGGAGGGAAGGAAAAATGGAAAGGAAGAAAAGAGGGAGGGAAGAAGGAAGAGAGAAGGGAGAGAGGACGGAAGAGAATCAAGGGATTAAGGAAGGAAAGGTAGGAAAGAGAGATGGAGGAGAGGGGGAAGAAGAAAAGGAAGGAAGGAATGAGGGAGGAAAGGGAAGGAAGGAGAAGAGAAGGGAAGAAGGAAGGAGAGGGGAGGGAGGAAAGGAAGAAAGGAAGGATAGGAAGAGAAAGTCAGAAGGGAGTGATGAAGGAAGGAAGAAAAGAGAAGGGAGGGAAAGAGGGAGGGAGGAAAGAAAAGGGAGAGAGGGAAGGAAGGAGGGAAGGAAAGGAGGGAAGGAAAAATGGAAAGGAAGAAAAGAGGGAGGGAAGAAGGAAAAGAGAAAGGAGAGAGGACGGAAGAGAATCAAGGGATTAAGGAAGGAAAGGGAGGAAAGAGAGATGGAGAAGAGGGGGAAAAAGGAAAGGAAGGAAGGAATGAGGGAGGAAAGGAAAGGAAGGAGAAGAGAAGGGAAGAAGGAAGGAGAGAGAGGGGAGGGAGGGAAGAAAGGAGGGTTTGGGAGAGATTTGATATATGTTATTTCTTCCCCCCAATAGGCTTCTTCTAATCATTACCAAACGCCGGCTATGGAGTCGTCCAGCCCCACGGCGGAGAACGGTGGACGCAAACCGCCCCCACCCTCCCGCCCCGCCCCTTGCCTCGCCCCCCGCAACCTGCCCTGCGCGCGCATGCAGCCCCCGCCTCCCAACCTCGCTGGGCCACCGCCAGCCGCCGCCCCACCCCCTCCCTTGGCTCCCCAGTGCCCCCCAGCCCCTCCCCCTCCCCCTCCGTTGCCCTGGCTGAACAAAGCGGGGGAGGGCAAGGCCGAGGACGAAGACCCCCTGGGGGACATCCTCTTCGGGTGCGGTGGGGAGCCCTGCGGGGCCGACCCCCCGTCCTTGGCCCATTGCGACTCGGGGTGCGGCTTCCAGGATTCGGGGCCCAGCAGTCAGCAAGGGAGCTTCTCCCGCCCCCATGAAGGGACTGGGGACACTCCCGGGCCGGCCAGCCCCGAGCCTTCGCCAGCCCCCCAATTTTGGCTTTCCGAGAGCAGCCGGGAAGAGAACGGATCCGGGGGTGCCAGGCCCCGGAATCCGAGCCCCTCAATTACCTCAGGAACCTTCAGGTCCCCAGAAAGCCCCCCGCCGTTGCCGGTGCCGCCACCGCCACCGCCCCCGCTGCCTCCACCGTCCCGGGCCTCGTATCCAAAGACGCCGGAGCCACCAGGGGTGCCCGCCGCCATGGAGGCATCCTCCGACCGCCTCTTCGGCTTTGCCAGCCCTCCGTTAGAAGATCAGTTTGAGGAACCCCCTGAGTTCTCCAAGATTTTGCCGGACGGGCTGGCCAACATCATGAAAATGCTGGACGAATCCATCCGGCGCGGGGAAGAAGAGCGGGAGGAGAGCTTTCCGCCGCCGCCACCCCCTGCCGCCCTGCTCCCTAGCCCCCCACCCCTGGCAAGGCCCAAGCTGCCCTCGGCCTCCGCTGGTTCCTTCGATTACCCCAAACCACCTGGGCAGGACCCCCCTGAGCCCCCTTGCCTCTATCGCTTCGGCAAGCGGGACACAGAAGAGCAGCGTCCCCCGGCACTGGCCGCCGCGGGCTCCGGCGGGGCGAAGTTTGCCCCCCACAACACCCCGTCCCTTCTCAAGTCTTTGGCCAATGTGCTGGAAGGGCAGAAACACTCCTATCGGCTCAAACCGATAACTCCCCCAGGTGCTAAGATCTCCCCCCCAGCCGGTGCGAGCCAGAGCCCCCTACCCCAATTCACTACCTCAGGCCAAGCGTGGGCTGGGGCCCCTGGCGGTGCCACGGAGGAACGCACCTCCACGCCGCCACCCTTGCCCACCCCTCGGCCCGTGAAGACCGAGTCGGAGGTGTTGGAGGAGATCAGCCGCGCCTGCGAGACCCTGGTGGGACGAGCGGGACGGGAGAAGAGCCCCCCGCCTCCTGCTAGTCCCCCACCCGCCCCGGCCTCCCCTCCGCCCGCTCCTCTCCCGGCCACTGTGCCTCCAGCGCCCCCGCCACCGACCCCTCCGCGCCCCAAGGATGAATCCCGTAAGCCACACATGGAACACCGCCGGCACCGTCGGTCCAATCGCGACGGCTCGCGGAGACACCGGGATGGTAAAGCTCGCAAGGGGAAGAACCGGCAGATCCTGGGCAGTTTGGACGTGCAGAGCTCCGAGGGCCAAGCCCGGGAGAACGGGGCCAAGCCCCCGCCGCCACCCCCACCGCCTCCACCCGAGCGGAGGTCTCCGGTCAAGAAGGAAGAAGGCCCGGTGGGCTCAATGTCCACCATGGTGTGCTCGGCTGACCTGCTGAAGCTGCGCTCCTTCACGGAGGGTCCCCCTAAGGAGCTGAAGATCCGGCTGATCAAGGTGGAGAGCGGGGACAAGGAGACCTTCATCGCCTCCGAAGTCGAGGAGCGACGCATCCCCCTGAGCGAGGTCACCATCAACCACTCGGCCGCGGAGGTCGTGAGGGCCAGCAAGTGAGTTTCCTCCAAGGAATTTCCGGTCGCTCGATAGAAAATGCAGATTCACGGAGTAGCCTTCAACTTACAGCAGGAGTGTCAAACTCAAGGCCCGGGGGCCGGATCCGGCCCGTCGGGCACTGAGATCTGGCCCGCAAGGCCACCCTGGAAACTGTGAAGGACCGGGCCATGGTTCTGTTCCTAACCGAGCTCCGTTTTCTGCTGCGACGCCTTCCTGCAACTCTCTGCCAGTGAAAATGGAGCTCGAGAGGGGCTGCGTGTGAGCCTCCCGGGCTCCGTTTTCGCTGGCAGAGTGCTTGGGCCGCCAAAGGGCCCCCCTCCCGACACGAGTGCTGTCGAGCTGGCCACGCCCACCCTGGCCACACCCACCTGCGCACTCCCCTCACCCGAAGTCAAACGCAACCCCGATGGGGCCCTCAACAACCCTGACTTACAACCACAAATTTGGAGCAGAATTTCTGTTGCTAAGTGAGACAGTTGTTAAGTGAGTCCTGCCCAATTTTATGACCTTTTTTTTGCCGTGGTTGCCAAGTCAATCATTTATTTGGGGTGACACAAACTGGTTCAGACGCTAGTACTTGGTTTCGAGTCCCGAGCTCTGCGCAACGGGTTGAGTGTTCCTCGCTCCAGCTACTTTCCAGCTAGTAGTTTGAAAGCATGTAAGTGCGAGCAGATCAATAGGTACCACTTCAGTGGGAAAGTAACAGCACTGTGTGACGTTAAGCTGGCCACGACTGCGGAAACGTTGTCGGACAGAGCCTGCTCAACGGCCTTGAAACAGAGGGGAAAATGCCCCCCCCCCCAATCGGCAACAACTAGCGGAGTAACCTACCCACCGTGATGATTCACTTAACGACCGTGACAAGAAAGGTCGTAAAACAGGGCGAAACTCACCGAAGAAAGTGTCTCCCTTAGCAGCAGAAACGTTGGGCACGATTGTGGTCGTAAATCGAGGACTTCCTGTACCGAGAATGGAGATATTTTTTTTAATTTTTATTTTATTTTATCAATGTCATATATACATCCACAATTATATGATCTCATAACTGT